AAAGAGAGAGAGAGAGAGAGAGAGAGAGAGAGAGAGAGAGTAAGAGAGAAAGAGAACATATCTTTCTATTTATATTATGCTAAATTCTATGCCAGTTGTGAATAAAGTAATCATTATCTTTCATTAACACAGAAAAAATTACCCACAGAGAAAGTATCTTGTTCAATATTTTAAATTAAAATAAAAACATGAGATGACAACAACACGTATGAAATATAAATGACAACAGGTTAAAACGATCGATTTCAAAGTAAACATCATTATATTATCATCACAGCCATTAAGATAACCAGAAATTTTGGAAGCATAAACATACAAATGCACATTTGGAAGAATACAAGAAATATATTTTTTTTAAATAAATTCGTAACAAACGAGCATAATAAGTAGATTCAACAAAGCTTAATTTTTCGTTTCCCATACTCTCTTTATATATTTTCTTCATATCTCTCTTTCTCTCTCTCTCTCTCTCTCTCTCTCTCTCTCTCTCTCTCTCTCTCTCTCTCTCTCTCTCTCTCTCTCTGTATTTTTCATCTCTCTCTCCTCTCTCTCTCTTTCTTTCTCTCTCTCTCCCTTTCTCTCTCTCTCTCTCTCTCTCTCTTTTATCTCTCTCTCTCTGTATTTTTCATCTCCCCCCTCTCTCACTATCTCTCTCTATATATCTCTCTCCATTTATCCCTATCTCTCTATATGTTTGTATATTATGTTTGTGAGTGTGTGTGTACATATGTGTATGCGCGCGTGTGTGGGTATGTGTGTGTGAGTGTGTGTGTGTGTGTGTGTGTGTGTGTGTGTGTGTGTGTGTGTGTGTGTGTGTGTGTTACACGTGACGCCTATATCAAGTGCATCTTTAACATAAGTAGCTGAGTTCAGACACATTTAAACATTGCGAGGAACAGCTGCAGTATCGAGTAACTGGACGGAGGAGATCATGTTCTCCCGCTGGAAGTGACGTCTGTAAAACAATGAGTCCCTCTGTGCCGCGCATTGCAGACGGACCCTGTGCCTTCCCTCTGTGTGGTCTACGACGCTACAGGACGTCAGAACTCGGTGCATGTGTCTGGCCGCCTCCAAAGATCCACTCAGGGCCAGTGATGTGAACTGTGCTCCCGCGTTGGGTGAGTCTGTGATCATTGTGGGGTCAAACCCCCTGCACATAGCCAATGAGGGCAGCCTGTCTGCAGGAACGTCGAACACTTGTAGCAGGCTGTTGAAGACTCGTGATACGAAAACGACTTTCCTGACCAGATTCCCACTCAGGCTTGGACCCAGATGTCCCACACAGTTGATTAATCGGAGGTTTTCCTCGAGGGACGTAAGCCACCACCGACCCTCTCTCAGAACACGATGCTCGATTCCACCATCAGAGCCAACAAAACTCCGAGAATCCGACCTGGTGGGATATAGCTCAGACAGAAACGTGTCGTAGCTGTCCGGACTTGGGGAAAAGAATGTGGTGGTCCAAGTATTCTTGGCTTCTTCCAGTGAAGCGACCAAATCCAGCAGTTTGAAATTGAACTCATTAACAAGGCCTCGTACATGAGCTTGAGGAAACCTGATAAAGACCATTCGCATAAAAGGATTGTGGCTATTGATGGCAGCAGTTTGCAGTTGCTGGCACCCAGAAGTGAGTTGGCATGACGATGAGTATTCACAATACGGGGTCCAGTTCTGATCCAACTCGCTATGTACGAGACCTTCGCATAGGGCCACGTTAGCAGCCAACAGGATAGCTATTACTGTGGGGGAGAAATAATAGATTCAGAAAATTAAAATATGAAATAATGGCATATTACCTAATATCCTCTGTTACTTTCAAACCATCCCTTTCTGTTAGGTTTGTACTGTACTTAATTAGGCTTCACTTGAGAAGTCGTTAGGGGGAAAGGAGTGACATATTTTCTCAACCTAGATCGTTCATGAGATACAGATAACTCTATATGGATGATGAAATGTTTCCAGTAATGGATTGGAACTCCTGCGCCACAAACTCTGTATTACGTGTGTGTGTGCCTGGAGAAAAGTCCCAGTTGTCGGAAGTTTTGGATACTGAAATAGGCACATATTATGTGACACGGCGTGGTGGGGTCAGGCGCATGTCAAGTTTTGGGCATATGGGGTTTTTAATGTCATCATAAAGCTTGCTCGTCTGTCTGTATTTCGATGAAAAAAAGAACCCATCTGCTTGAGAAAAAGTTGAGATATTTGTGATTGATGAAGGTAGGGGTCGCCTGGTTTCAGAGGTAAAAGTAGCGAGAAAAGGGTTACCAAATTTTGGTAACTTCCCAAACTTGAGAGTCTCTAGAAACAGAAAATTTACATTTTCGTGTCTTAAATTAACTTTATAAAATTAAAATCGACACCAAAAAGTGTTTCAAATTGGACATATTATGAAATGTTGAGACAAAAAAAATATGATAAAAATTTCCAAAAACAACAAAAATGTGCGCCTGTTTCTTCGACTTCAATATTTTGACGAGCGTCTGATTTCATCCCGACGCCCCACATACTCTTGCCACTAAGCAGAAGACACAGGGTTAAGATGGCTTGTGGCTTCTGATATGGTCAATGAGACCAATTCTGACAGAAAAAATATAGTTTGCGACAATCACTTCAAAGCTTTGTTTTCACTCGAGGATGTGTCTAAGAAGGATGTAGTAAACGCATGATAAATAAAACTCACAGACAACGTCAAATGTAATATTCTCAATTATAATAATTATTATTATGTCTACAAAGTTTGTACTTACGAGTTTCAGGTTTAATCATCATGTCAATACCAAAAACTTTGAGCGAGAATTTCAATTATTGCTTCAAAAGTTACTCTTGTATACTTTTGAGAAACTGTTAACGATTGTACAAGACAGAGTTATGGAGACTTTTATATAAGGTCTATAGGTGCAAGCGATAGTGCGGCAGCCATGAGTAATTCTGTTTCTCTAGTGGTAAAACTATAGTTTAAAAATACATTTACAATAAAACAGCAGTTACTTTCACTAATAAATATTGTTCTTTTTTCTCACACACACACAAAGATAAAAATAGGTACCTTCAGTCTTCGATTCGACTTCGCAACCCTCAGTCCTTGTCAAAACTTTCAATTTCCGCACAGCAGAGTTTCAGTATCGGAAAGTGGCAGCAGACGTTAACACACATTTAGTAGTGGAGTTCCAGCATTCCACGAAGTTCCCACTTTCAGTAACCCTTAATGCAAGAAAGGATTATGTCGAATGCCAAAAGCGATTTTGTCTACACATGAAACCGAGAGAAATTTCTCGCTGCGCTCTGTTTGCTTCACTGAGCGCCATACGCATTCGCTCAGGATTGGGGACATGCAACAAAAATTTGGTTAATTCACCATAACACCGAAAATCTCCCCCTCCCCCTTTCCTTATCGTGACAGGTTAAAGCCTTGTGAAAATGTCATTGGCTATTTTGATCTACCTGGACCCTGTCGTAGCCAAAAACTCAAACTTATTCTATGATTTTGAAGGATTCAATGAAATTGTGCCGAATTTTAGCTTTCGCTCAGGGATTTGACAAAAACTTTCTGCAGTGAGCACAAGGACTGAATCTTCGACAAAACCTAACTACTTCAGTCGGCATGCTGTTTCGACACTGTCAGTCGGGCGTGGGCTATCTTGTGGGTCCCAGCAGAAGAACAGAGATAACAGAATACATCCCTTCACATTGGAATTGAACTCACGCCCCCCGGGTGAAACGTAAAGAGAATAACCTTTACCCTACAGACGCCTGTGTACAAAGCAAGTAATAATTAATTCATGTAGCACACTGCGTTAAAAGGCAAGTACGTTATGAGAAAATGAAAAGTTAAGCTAATTGAAGGGGTCAGAAAAATAAAAGATAGTTACTAAATAACATTTTGCTGGAGTTCTTTAACATAACGATACAGCCAGGCCAGGGAAGACTACAGAACATGGCAGTTGAATGAAATGACGAGATGTCTTTAGATCAACGTCATGGTTTTTACAAATTGCTCAAACTCTGCAGTTCAGCTGTTTCGGGTGTTTCTCCTGAAGTAACCTCAAAGTGTCTTAGACACTTTGTATTTTTCAGACAACTACTTCAATAATTAAAGAATAGGTTCCCAAAGCTGGGTAAGTCAATTTTAACGAGCACCTGATTTGGCCACGGTGCCACACACCCCGATGTATCACATGTGTATTTCCAGATGAGCATAAATGTATGTGTGTGGCATCGTGATGAAACCAAGTGCTCGTCAACTTTAACCAAACGTGTTTTGGAAAACCACTCTTCAATTAGTTGAGCGTAACAACTGCAGTTATGTCTTCTATTGAGAACGTTCCGGCGGTTGAGTAGCTCGAGTGGAATAATGGATCGGAACCGATTTACTTGTTTCATAAAAATAGCTTCTATGTCTTCGGTAAAACAGATTTTGACATATGAATATATCGATTTTCTTTATTTATATATTCCACTTGCAGTAGCGTTCTCTTTCTGTGTCTTGAAGAGGTAAAACCGTAGAGTAAAAATAATGAATTAGTTCCTTGTAACTCCAAAGGGGACGATTTGAGTACGTACGTTTGCACTAAAATGTACGAGTACATACATGCATTCACGTTCGTGTGCAACAGAAGACAGAGAGAGAGAGAGAGAGAGAGAGAGAGAGAGAGAGAGAGAGAGAGAGAGAGAGAGAGAGAGGGAGAGAGAGAGAGTTGGAGAGAGATTGGGGAGAGTGTGTAAGAGAGGGAGAGAGAGAGAGAGAAGGAGAGGGAGGTAGTGAGAGAGAGACGGGGAGACGGCGACACACACACACACACACACACACACACACACACACACACACACACACACACACACACACACATATACATACACACACAGACACATAGACAGACACACATACAGACACACAGACAAACAACAATGAACGAACACAAAAAAGTTAACAACATTCGCTCGTCAGACTAAGGCTGAAAATATACCACCACGCACAACTGAAGTGCGCGCGAAACAGACGAGCAGCTTGGTCAGATGTGGTGATCACATAGGTCGCGCGACTCCGTCCGACTGTGTTTAAAAAATGGCGCTGAGCGTCGCGGAACACTCCAGGCTAAAACAGAACCTGGACCTGGGTGACTGGTGCCTCTATAAATAAATAATTAATGGGTCAAAGTTAAGGACGCAGAACACTCCGATAGCACGGCGAAAAGAAATGGTGAAATGGCATGGGTTTAACGCCCCTATCAACACTATTGGGTTATCTAAGGGGCGGGACCTCCTGGTTTAACGTCCGTCTCCGATAGGACCGAGCCAAGTGGGAAGTACTTTTCCCAAGGACAAAACGTCGGACCGAGCTGAGGCTCGAACCCCCGAACCCGTAATCCCACGATTTCGAGTCCGGTAGCCTAACCACTAGGCCACCACCGCCACGATAGCAGGGCGGGCCAGTCCGCACACCTTGAAGAAGTGCTGCACTGATGCACGTCTTTTTGGGTCCTCACGACTGCTCACGTCTAGTCGGGTCAGTGAAATCACCAATAGGAAATGTGAAGCAGCGTGGTGGAATCAGGCTCTCGTCAATTTTTGGGCATGTAGAGTTATTGGTTTCATCTTAATGCTTGTTCGCTTGTCTTTATTTGGAAGGAAAAAAAAGTCTATTTATCTTAAATACAAGTGGAGATATTTGCGAATGAAGGAGGTGGGGGTCACCTGTTTTCAGAGGAAAAATTAGTGAGAAAATGTCCGCCAAAGATTGGTAATTTCCTTAGCTTAAGAGTCCGTGGTAACTGGAAATTTCCATTTTTGTGCCGTTCATCAACGTTTTTCAGGAAAATCCTCACAGAAATGAGTTCTTTAATGGGCATGAAAGGTGTTAGGCCAAAAAACAAATATTTGATAAAAATTCACAAACCTGCGGAAAAATGCAAGTTTCTTCAATTTGATTATTTTGACGAGAGCCTGATTCCATCCCACTGCCTCACAAATAAAGAGGAGGGGACAGCTTTTTTCGCGGTGCACTTCAGTTGTGCGTGGTGGTAAATGTTCAGCCTTAGTGTACAGTTTCTTACTACTACTCCAACTCACAGCGATGTGACCATGATGTAATCTGAAAATCCGGACCAAATTGGTAGGTTCAGCCGAGCAAAGTTCACGTACTGGGAAACAGGAGTGAGCACGCTGATGCCCGTGCTAAGAGTTTTGAAAAAGTCGAGAAGGATCTGCACGACAAGCACAGGGTTGTTGGACCTCACCATTGCACTTGTGCCGGTCATCTGAAAGTCAAATTTCAAATTTAAGGAGGTGGGCCAGGTCTTTTTAAAAATAATTTATTTATTTGTCAGGTTTTTGTTTATTTTGCTTGCTTTTTTGTTTGTTTTGTTTTGTTTTGCTTTGTTTTGTTTTTGTTTTTTCTTTTAGTTTTTTGTGGGTTTTTTTGTGGGTTTTTTTGTGGGTTTTTTTGTGGGTTTTTTTGTGGGTTTTTTTGTGTGTTTTTTTTTTTTTGGGGGGGGGGGGAGCGAGAGGGGTACTTAGGAGATTAAAAAGGCATTCTTACGAAAAACCATACAACTTCAGCATGTGCGCACAGTTTGACAGCAACATTCGTTCAGACAATAAAATTAAATTATGATAACTATTATTATTAGTATTATTATTATTATGGTTATTATTATTAATATTAATGATGAATATGATTTTGATGATGATGATGATGATGATGATGATGATGATAATGGTAATAATAATAATAATAATAATAATAATAATAATAATAATAATAATAACGATTTTTTAAAGATTATGATATCAATAATAGTAATAATAATAATAATAATAATAATAATAATAATAATAATAATAATAATAATAATAAGGTTTAAAAACTAATAATAGTAATGATAACAATAATATTAACAATAATAATAATAAAAATAATAGTAATAATAATAATGATAATGATAATTGTAGTAGTAGTAGTAGTAGTAGTAGTAGTAGTAGTAGTAGTAGTAGTAGTAGTAGTAGTAGTAGTAGTAGTAGTAGTAGTAGTAGTAGTAGTAGTAGTAGTATAATTTTCTTTGTTGTTGTTGTTATTATTACTATTAGATAGATAGATAGATAAATAGATAGATAGATAGATAGATAGATAGATAGATAGATAGAAAAATAGATAGATAGATAGATAGATAGATAGATAGATAGATAGATAGATAGATAGATAGATAGATAGATAGATAGAGAGAGAGAGAGATAGATAGATAGGTAGATGACATTTGTAAAGCGCAAAATTGTGTTCAATAGAGAGTTACGTATGCGCTTTACAATCTATTTCTCAAGACAGTCTGATAGCGTTTTGAAACAATCTCAACTTCCTGAGTAGGATATAATGCAAACCGCCATTTAGAGGCGTTAAGGCACTAATATTCTGACCAGATTTTTGTGTCTATGGCTGGGCGCCAAGGAGTTTAGAACTACTGTAAACCCCCTACTGGGCGCCCATTCCCAAATGTGTGAAACGAGAACAATTTGTGTAAAGTGCTTTTTCTAAGGACGCAACCTCGGTCGTGAGCCTCGAACTCCGTAACCTGCAACCTCACGATTACGACCCTGGCCTAAGCACGAGACAACCGGCACCACAGTCGGCATCGTGGTAAATTCAGGCGCTCGTCAAAGTAATGAAGTAGAAGGTACCGCCATTTTACAACGTTTGGCAATTCTTTGTTCATTTTGTGTTTTTTTTGTCGCAACACCTTTTTTGTTCATATAAAAGCACATGTCCATGCCAACGTTACGGAAAACCCTCCCTTGATCCGTTAATTAAAGGCACACAATGATGATATGTAATATTTCAGTTTTTCAAGGACTCTCAAGCTATTGAAATTGTCAAACTTTGGCAGCCATTTTCTTGCTAATTTTACCATTGAAATCAGGCGACCCCAGCTTCTTCAATCGCAAATATCTAAAGTTCTTATCCAGATAGATGGGTAATTTTTCGTCGAAAGCTAGGCAAATGAATATTTCTTCAGATGACACCTATATCTCCACCTGCCCAAAAACTGACTTGCGCCTGAATCCATCGCGTCGTGACGTATACTATTACAACAGGGCAAGGGGATGACGGCAGCAGAGAGGACGAGAGTTTTCCACCAACCATTATGTCTATCATCGCTCCCGGAGAGTCCAGGTACACGTCCACGTGACCTGCGTCAGAGAAGACACGGACCATTGTCCCACCTGTGCTTGCCACAATCCTCAGAGTGTCATTGCATGGCATTGAATTGCAAAACGACTCTACTGTGGTCTGTAATAGAAACATATTTTTATGCATGATATAATTAAATGAATATGGAAAGTTTCTATTGCCGCTGGGTATATTTATACATATATATATATATACACACACACACAAACATACATATAGATAT